CTGTGCACAAGTCGAAAAACCGGATATGCTAAGAATATGTGAGGGGGTGTATGTTCACAACGATACCTGTAGCTAGAACACTGGAAACGTGAGCACACAATCGTAGCCAACACGAATACAAACATCAACCCACCTCAGCCTATCGGATCAATCTCGTTGAAGTTACTAACAGTCGATCAAGCACGAGCTAGCTAACTGCTTACAGTGATTAAAAGGTAATTAGAGGTTATCGTATTCGCAGCGGGTAAGTGATCCAGCTTCAACCGAACTCCGGGGTCTGCCTTGACACACTCAGAGAAGCACTGGCTCATACGCGAGTGCACTGAGCATTGTCCATATTGAGGTCCCGAAACTATCGATGCTACAACGCATCAGAACTATAACGATGAATGCCATAGACTTCGAAGACGAGTCAAAAGGAGTTGGCATCCTACACAAGAACAGGCCGGTGTTCTCGGTATAGAAAGAACTTGACGCAGTATCGCCACTATTATCTCATAGAGTGGTGAGAAGGGCCCTCCGGACACTGGGATTCGACAGGTCGTCCCACGTGAGGAGGGGGGATTCGAAAAATATATCTTGATCCAAGTTGAACGATTATGCTCGTGTAATACTGCACGTCGGATAAAATCGCGCATAATCGTCTGCGCACATTGATGATCGAAGTTCCTACTTGTGACGTGCTCAAAATTGCGTCTGTTCTAGTTGGTTGACATGTACCTGCCCTCTCTACGATGGAGTGCTAATGTGTTCATCGTCTTCTGCGTATCTCGAACCTCGGGATACGGCCTGCTCGATACCGTGCGAGGATCAGTGTTCGACGTAAGACACCATAAAATCCATTCTCAACAACCAAATACGAGAAAATGCGTTGAACTGGGATTTCCCTGCACTTTAGGAAATCGGCGACGAAATAGCTCCCGATGGAGACTGGTTGAACCATCAACGCGATACGGTAATTCCAACTGACTTCAGTCAATACCATAATCTCGATCAGGAATCCCTCCTTCTCTGTTGTCGCGAGCTTTCTTGCAGTGGCAGTCGCAGTGACCATCTGTCTGTGAGGTAAGCGGCCCTTTGCCATGGTGTAACCACCGGAATAACAATAGGTACATCACTGTGCATCAGAGCTCTCAGAAATGCGGCTGCCAAGATATAGAAATAGAGTGAGGCACCAGCGCCGGTGTGGATGATCAAATTCCTAATTATTTAGCCGTGTCTCATTTTCGTGGCGCGTGACGGGCCCTATTACTCCCAGGGAGGTCTCCCGAGGGCTCGATAGCGAGCAATGTTATGGGAGTCGGAGGATTTCCTCGCAACATTTGCTGCAGACCCCAGACTGTGAGTTCGCTACCTAGAAACACCTTCCACATTCAACGGTAATCATCTCAGGCTCAAGTCTACTTAGCGTGACTAATGGGGAGCTACTGCACTCCTCTGCTTTCCACAGACTTTTTGGTATAAACCCCCACTCTGGCTACTCGCTATGCATTGCCTCTCAGGCCGCTCAGTCAACACCTGCGAAGCGATCCCTCGGCCGGCCACCAAAGCTTCGACACACGTCGCCTTCGCGTAAGTGACTATTGCATCCTGATTGGGATTGTACTGTTGACTGGCAGTAATTGGCGCCCAGTCGAACGACTGAGGCCGCCCGATGTCACTACGACCACGACGACTACTACCACCACCACCACCACGTCAAGCACGACGACCACCACTTCGTCTACTACTGCAACCCCTTCTCCAGCCCTCAGTGTTGTCCGAATACCATACGGCGTTATCCCTGAGACCTCTGTGGTGGACCCGAAGGATGATCCTTTCGCCGTCAAGTAAGGTTTGTGATTTGTGGTTCTCGATGAGCTTAGCTATATGATGATGATGTTTGAGGTACGCAGCAGATCCGGTATATAACAACATAGTAGTTATCAAGGGTCGGGGTGTCAGGAGAAATCAGGTAGTAGACTCCCAACTCGGTACTCGTCGAAACTCGATGATGTTAGCATTACTGTCAAGGCAGCTGTAGGAGCGACCCGAGATGCTGCTCAGCGGTCTACAGCAATGCCAGGTGGGTCCCACCCCTCGGCGTGTGTCGAGCTGTGTTGTCAGGCCCAACGGAATGTACCCAGATATGGCCCAGGATCTCCGAGGATTGATAGAGTCAGCTGTGGATCAACGTCGATCGCGGAACCGAAGGACTGAGCTTGCTCCTCATGGGATTGGCTTCCCTATGACGACACCGAGGCCTGAAGTCGTGATGCTCGTTACCCCGGTCATCACTTCTACGAGCACCACCGCCACCACCGAGTCATCAACCTCCACGTCTACTGGCACTTCTATTAGCACTCCTACAGTGGCTGTGGTCGCCGACTATACTGAGAGGCCCCACGAGTAGGAGCTTGTCAAAACGATTTGTGATACTCCTTTCCCAGGCTATATCATGATAAACGTCACGAGCTGACACCAACTGCTGGAGAAAAGGATCTTGGAGAATCTTTGGGGTGCGGTCAGCCATCCGGACTTGCAATGTGAGTGATGCTCATTATCAGGTATAATTACGCCTTCGATTTCACGTTCGATGGGGCGGAACAGGGAAGTGGAAAACAGGATGGTCGGCAAGAGAGCGATGGACATTCTGAGGAAGAAATGAATGCTGATAGCTATGGGCCTTCGCGTCGCGAACCGTTTGGAACTGGTAGCACTTACGACGGCGACATTCCCGTGCAGTCGTCGCTACCCCGAGAGAGAGCGATCACTCAGCCAGGGGCTTATGAGGGCTCTGGAGTAGTTGATGGACGCGCGAGTCCTATGAATAACGAGGATGGGGTACCGGAAGAAGATGATGCGGATGGCCCATCGGTAGAAGAGGGAACTGACGATGTTTGGTCGCCACATTCCGCCGAGTTGGTCGATCGCCCCATGAAGCTCAGGGGTTCCCCGAGGCTCTATACAAGCCAACAGGATAGTAACCGCAGGAAGCGGCCGATACGGAATAATAACAGCCCTTCCCTCGAGCCTGTCGATTCCGCTAAAAACATGCGCGATAACTCGGGGGATGATGATGCTACTTATACGGAGACTGTAGAGGAGGTGGGAAAAGAGGAAACTCGGCAAACTTTTGGTGGTGGGGAACCTTACTCTGAAACCGTAGAAGAGGTCGGTAGGCCGGAATCGAGGCGAACTTTCGGGAGTAATTCAAATTTGAAAGAAACGCAGAAAGTTTCTGATGGGGAAGCGTACTCTGAGACTGTTGAGGAAGTGGGCAGACCGGAGACTCGGAGAACTTTCAATATTCAGCCTGATTCGAAAGGACTGCGGCAAGATGCTGACGAGAAAGCATATTCGGAGACTGTGGAGGAAGTGGGGAGGCCGGAGTCAAGGACGAGTTTTGGGGGTCATATGAATTCTGAGGGTCTGCGGGATAATGAACCGTCAGAGCAGGAGATGCTTGAGGCTTTCAAATCAGCAGGTTTGGAGGAAGCATTTTCGAAGGGGGAAGGATGATACACCTTTGCCACGCTCTATGAGCGACTCGTTAACATCTAACAGATGCTTCACAGTCGTGATAATCACGACATTGTCATGAGCGCTTCATGCGTATTACACGTAAACTTGTTGAGGCTTATTAGAGTTGCGTCAGTATACAAACGGGCACTTCTATCGGTTATCACAGTTACTTTGGCCGAGACATACAGGTCCCTTGTGATTTGCCGATGAGAGAATTACCTTCCGAAGCACATAGGACATAGCGTTACATAGGGTACAGATGAAGGAGTTCGATAAATCCATGAATTCTCGATGTTTTTAACAAGGACTGAGTGCAGCATTTTAACGCTGCTTCAACTTCGACATATATTCTTGCGGTCATCTCAAGGAACACTCCTACGTCTTAACTCGCGAGTAATCCAAACTCGCGAGTGGTTTGGTCAAAATTATGTAGTTATAAGCCAACTTTAGTATAACACAATCACTGGCAATCCTAATCGATAAGAGAACTAGGCAAGTAACGCATCCATGCTCACTCGATGGACTCGAGTTGGAGGAGAGGGACGGCCCTGCTCCCCACATCAGAGGGCAGCCCGTTAGAGCTGTATCTGCTAAGGCCATACTTCCACTGCAAAAACCCTCCGAAATCTCACTCGCTCGGTGCCAAACTCCGCGATGTCACATCAGATGCTATAGGGCTAGTGATGACGGTATCAGTCTACGACCCAAAAAATACCATATCAATGGGATCATGCAATTCGAAGCTCACCAATGGCTCTAAGACGGACGTGAGTCGGAGCTTGTGATTGATCTCCTCGAGAAGCTGGACATCACGACTGAGAAGGCATTTGCATGGGATCCAAATAGACATGGCAAGAGCACCGTAGCCGATCTATTTCGTCATCGCGTGCATCAAGTTTGGACTTGAGCCGCTTGATCCTCGTCACGCTGGCCTCCTCCCCAGTCTCCAAAGCAGCGATGCGTTCCTCTTGTGAATGTAGCAAAGACCTGAAGGCTTTCTCGATGCAGACCAGCACAAGACGGCTTCCCTCGATGAAGTGCGAAATGGGAGATGTACACCAACTGACCTCAACGATGCCGTTTTCTGCAATGCTTGCTGCAATCGATCCTCGTTGTTCCTCTCTTTAATCGTCACCGAGCAGCCAAGCAGATGTAGCACCCATCTGACGAACAGATTAATCCCCAAAAATCGCAATCATAGGAAATCAAGTTCGGCAGGAGCAAGATAGTTGGCAAGGCTCACCCTAGCAATGTCTGCCGTAGCAACCTCAGAGATCTTCTGGACATGAGATGCTCACAAACTTGTCTGATATACCGAGCACGTGAAGCCGCAGTGGTCCACTTCAGCATCGTCGATCGCAACACTTTCTGAGATCCAGAAAACAACATGGAAATGTCGCGAGCGGAAACTTCACTCCCCCTACCCTCCGTTGCATCATAACTGCTGCTGTCCCATGTCTCTTCAATCGTCCTTGTCGCCCTCGAAGCCGCAACACTCTCAAAGCCAGTCGGCATTTCTCTGCTGATCTCGCTCGCCCCAAGACATCCCTAAGGGCACATATCCCTTGCCGGAGTAAGGCTTGACGTAGATGTCTTCCGATCAACTCTGCAGTCCTCCTCCCCTCCTTTCCTCGCAACCGATTCACCCCAAACGCTTCTAATGCTATTCGACAGAGTCGCTGACGAGAGATCCCCAACTGCAGAGTTCTAACTTTCTCTTTAGCCCGCCTCTGCCACTGCTCTAACACTCGCTTCTCCACTTCGCATTCTACGGCTTGCCGTATGATTTCCGCCCGAGCACGCCGAATGCGACCCCTGTTGAGCTCCATCAGAACTCCCAATTTCACGCTCCGCTGTCGATAAAGCAACATAGTCGCGCAAACTTTTTCAACCCAAAGAGCTCGACACCATAGGCGAAATGCTGATCGCTTTCGCATGGAAACCAGAACGCGATGTGCCTCGTCTAGACTCCGCATCCTTAGTCCTGCTCGCTGCCAATACCCGAGCCACCGAAGCAGGAGCCTCCACTGGCTGTATGAGACCGCTCGCTCCGTGAGCTCTCCCCGATAGGAAGACAGTCGTCTCCACTGATCGAACACACTCCCCAACATCACCATCAACTGATCGGTCACTCGGACGTAACTAAAGGAAATATGACCCTTCAGTATCAATCGCAAATAGAAACACGTTCAAGACTACCCCGATACATGACGGGTTCACTACGATGATTCGACTTACTTTCTCCAGGACCGCAGTACAACAGCACAGAGGCGTGCCTGACTGCCTCGTCGAACAGAGTGAGCAACGCAGCGAGACGCTCTAGCGAGCCGCTGGGCCGCCTGAAATCATCCGGTCATCGTTGCAAATTCCACACGGGCGATGAGCACTCTCCAACAAGGTAACCACCGGCGCAGCAGATGTTTCTCCCGGAAGTCGGCGGCCACGAGCTCCAGCGCGTCAATTCTCTGCATTTCAGTAGTCACTTTCTGAAAACGATCTTCCTCGACCTCCAAAGACTCTCACAAATACTTCCAACTTCTCAGCCTGACCCAACGAGGCCTCCATCAGCTCTTCAAGCTGCAACTTAGCCGTCTGAGCCTCACGCTTCTCTCGCTCTAGCTGAACTCATCATAGAAGAACAGTCCTAGCAGCAACCCCACCTGGTCCGAGACCGTCTCGAAGTCCTGTGCAAGTTCCCTCAAAGACTCCTCGAGTTTCTGACCGCCTCTGAACGCCTCGTCTCGCTCCGCTTCGAGCCTCGCCTCCACATCCTTCAGAAACTTCAGCTGAAGAGAAAAACGGAATCGCATCAAGACTGATGGAGAATGCCCACCTCGTTGGCTTGCGCTCTGACAGCCTCGTCTAAGGCGTTGTTCTCATCCTGGAGCCTCCCTATAGTAGTTTCAGCGCTGGTCAATCGTGCTGTGAGCCTGTGTGCTTTACACAGCAGAAATACCCAAAGCAAGGCGTACTTAGAGATTTCCATTTCGGCAATTCGGCAGTTCTCAGCATTCTGCTCTTGGAACAGTTGCAATCGCTCCTTCAACCGGGCGTTCATATTTCTAGCCTTCACATGCTGGCAGCAAATGACATGCACTTGTGATAGAGGCAACTGACCACACCTGGGCCTCTGCAATAGTGAGGCTTTCCTCGAGGGAATGACATCGTCTCTGCACGATGGCTAACTCCGACATCGATTCATCCAACTCTTGCTGCAGACTCGAACTGTGCAGTTTCTCAATCTGCATCTGACACGACGAACAAGCTCGGGTAAAGAAGCAAGGAGTTTGTGCGACAGCGTTACTTACTTCTCTTCGGTTGATATAGTCCTGGGGTCGACCCTACATACGACGTTTACATCCTCATAATGGACATACAGGTTACCGGTGTTCCCGTAAAAGGGTTAGTTATCGCTCCCATCCCTTTTTGTGGTGATACACTACGCCTAGCTACAGGAGTCCTCTGTCGATCTCTGCTTGGACATCGATGCTTCGTCTGCTTTCTGCCAGGGACGTGTTGCCTCAGACTCGTCGCGAACTCAGCGTTCCGCACCGCTAAGCTCCTAGAGCTATCTCGGCCGCCCCATTGCATGAATCCTGCAAAAACAGCATAGACTGATCGCACAGTAGATAACCCAACCTCGATGGTAGTAACGAAATAAGGCCGTCGGAAATTATCATGGTGAACTCATACTTCATCAGCGAGTCCGAAAACAGTCTAGGGTTCGAACCCCGCTCGTGATGCAACAGATAGTCTTCTTACTCCTACCAGTGGGGGTGGCAAGTGACTTTCAGGAGTACGCTTCACGGTTCCTCGCAAGTGGACGATTCCCTCTCATAGAGCCTCATTTTTCTCATCACTCCACATGCCTCCCTGGGTGTTCGTAATAATTTTCGATCGGTTTGTGATTCAGCGATAAAATTGAAAATGGTGGAGGCATTCGACCGTATCGAAGCAACACTCCTCTCTAGTGCTATTGCCCCACCTCCACCAGCTCGGCAGGCCGGAATAGTCGCCTTTCAAGTGACTTCAGCTACCATCCTCTTTGATTAACACATGATTCTTCCCTGCTACATACCGCAACTTGAACAATTCTGCAACAGTGATCTCAGCAACGTCAGACTGTCACACATCCCAACCCATGATATCAAACTAGGCTAATCATAGACTATGATCGTACCTAGATCGACAGTTGGCAACTGCCAATAACTTCTCGTAGTAGCTGCCAGTATAGCGAGGTCCTTGTAGACTTCGCACTCACCGACTCATACAGTACGTGCATTCTGGAGAATGCAGTGCTGTTCAGCGCGAGAACTTTGCGTCTACGACCCATTTTAGTCTCAAGCTTCGTCTATACGCCCCCCTTCGTACGTTATAACGAAAACCAGGTCACACGATCAAGTGCCAACCGTCTCTTTCTGGTACTCTTTGGAGGACCACGTTAGTCCGTGCTCATTAATCCCCGACTGTAGATTTCAGTCATAGGTGGAGTTTTACAATCGACTTCATCACACCTCATGGGAATCAACACTCACGCCTAAAATGCGTGCCCGTGATACA